ACCACAGGTATAATTGGCGCGGATCTATTGCAGCACTACCAATTACTGGTAGATACAGGTAATCATAAGTTAAGAGATCCTGTCACAAACCTTTCCGTCAGCGGTATCGTCACACAAGGCCCAGCTCTCAGCCCAGTATACGCTACACCAACTTTAGCTGGACCATATTCTGATATACTTCAATCCTTTCCGGACTTGTTTAAACCTACCCGTTGTCTACCAAGCGTGACTTCTAATGTCACACATCATATTGTTACGACTGGTCCGCCAGTTTTCGCAAAGCCCCGACGGTTGTCTTCGGAAAAACTACAAGCCGTTAAGGCTGAGTTTGAACACATGTTAGAAATTGGAATCATCCGGCCTTCAAGCAGCCCGTGGTCGTCACCTCTACACGTGGTACCCAAGAATAACGGGTTAGATTGGCGACCTTGTGGTGATTATCGCAGACTTAATGCGTAGACCGTGCCAGATCGTTACCCGGTACCCCACATACATGATCTTACATCTTCCCTCAATGGTGCAACGGTTTTCAGTAAACTTGATTTAACTAGAGCATATCATCAGATCCCAGTTCATCCTGAGGATATTCCTAAAACGGCAGTCATCACTCCTTTTGGTCTTTTCGAATTCCTCCGCATGCCGTTTGGTCTCCGCAACACCGCACAAACATTCCAGCGTTTCATACATGATGTTTTGCGCGGATTAGATTGCGCGTATGCCTACCTGGACGATATTCTCGTGGCTAGCCCAGATGAAGCTACTCACCGTAGGCATTTGCAGATAGTTTTTGAGCGATTAGCAACACACGGTTTGACACTTAACATGTCAAAATGCCAGATTGGCGTACATTCGTTGAATTTTCTGGGACATGTCGTTAACGAACATGGCATTCGACCGTTACCTGAGAAGGTACTAGCCATACAAAACTTCCCAGAGCCTACGTCCATGAAATCTTTGCGCACATTCCTAGGCATGGTAAGTTATTACCGACGTTTCGTTCCTCAATGTGCACATATTTTACATGCACTCACAGACCTTCTGAAGGGTAAATGCAAAACCTTCAGCATGACACAAGAGGCTAGGGAAGCGTTCCAAAAAATTAAATCAGCGATTGCAGACGCAACCATGTTAGTTCACCTAGACACCCAACTTCCGCTTAGCATCTCGGTTGATGCATCTAACACAGCCATTGGAGCTGTACTACAACAACAAGCGCACAACTCATGGATACCGGTAGCCTTTTTCTCTCGGAAGTTGTCGGCGACTGAAGCGAGGTATAGCACTTTTAGCAGAGAACTCCTCGCCATCTATGCCGCTATCAAGCATTTTCGCCATTTCGTCGAAGGTCGGAAATTCACAGTATTTACCGACCACAAGCCATTAACGTATGCCTTACGCACCACTTCTGACAGGTATTCACCACGTGAATTACGCCACCTGGACTACATTTCACAGTTCACGTCCGATATCCAGCATGTATCTGGGATTGAAAATCCTGTTGCAGACGCTTTATCTCGCGTGTGCACTATGTCGATGCCACCAGCCATCGATTTTAACAAAATGGCTGAACTCCAACGGACTGATTTGAACTTCGAAAGTTTGTCGAAGAAAACCTCCATGAAGATTAAACGTGTCCCGTTGCCGAACAGTGAAGCGTTCATACTGTGTGATTTGTCAACGGGCACTCCTCAACCTATCGTCCCCATGTCTTTGCGCCGCACCGTGTTCGAGTGCTTACACAACCTCTCCCACCCTGGGATAAGAGCGACTGATAAGTTGATTTCGGCCAGATTTGTGTGGCCTGGTGTTAATCGTGACGTGCGTAACTGGGCACGTGCTTGTGTCAATTGCCAACGCTCTAAAGTAGCCAAGCATAATACCACGCCGTTGGGGACGTTTGCAACCCCAGATGCCCGGTTTCACCATGTACATCTGGATATCGTGGGTCCCCTACCTCCTTCAAACGGCTACTCGTATTTGCTTACGTGCGTAGATCGTTTTACACGTTGGCCTGAGGCCTTTCCTATACCAGACGTAACGGCTCAAACCACCTGCCGTATGTTCATGGAAGGCTGGGTTGCTCGTTTCGGATGCCCTTCTACCGTCACTACCGACCGTGGGCAACAATTCGAATCAACCAGCTTCAAGAAACTGTTAGAGCTGTTGGGATGCAAACGCATCAGGACAACCGCATATCATCCAGCGTCGAATGGACTAGTAGAGCGCTTCCATCGTCAGCTAAAAGCCTCGTTGATGGCAGTAGATAGCAGTAGGTGGACAGATTCTCTGCCTTTGGTCCTACTCAGCATTCGTGCTACACTAAAGGAAGATCTTAAGTGCTCTCCAGCCGAGTTGGTGTATGGCACTACCCTTCGTTTACCAGGTGAGCTTATCTCTCCTGATGTTTCCGAGCCAAAATTTCCCGAGAGCGCCTGTTATGCCCAGAGTCTTAAAAGTTTTATGCAGCGCATCCGACCCGTTTCCACACGCACGCAAAACAGGAAAGTACATGTCGATCATCGGCTGGATGATTGTACTCATGTTTTCGTGCGCCATGACGCTGTGCGCAAGCCACTACAACCTCCATATGATGGACCTTTCAAGGTCCTTAGTCGCAAAGATAAATTTTTCGTTATTGAGCGATGTGGCCGCCAAGACACGGTAAGCATTGACAGGCTTAAAGCGGCGTACATCGAAGAATCGATACCCTCCACGCCAGCTCATCCAAATAGCCCCACTGAACCTGGTACTAGCCCGGACTCCATTACGACCTCACCCCCGGTGACGAATGATGATCCTCCTACGGTCGCTAGTAAAGCCCCTGTCACACGCGCAGGTCGGCGTGTGCACTGGCCCAAGAGATATGCAGAATTCCTTCCCTGAATTACTCCATAGTTAATGCTAGTTTGTGGTTCTTATTCCTTGTTACACTTTTTAATTCCATTTTGCTATATTTACTCTAGTTGGTTCCGCTTCTGGATACATTTTTTTCCGAGTACTAATCCTTTTAATTTTTTCTCTCGTTACAGAGAACCAACAGCAGTTTATACTTTTTTCTTTTCATTTTACCTCAAACCACTCGCTAGACCCATTGGCGTTAACGTCATTTTGTAGTACACACAATTGGGACATTTCAAACATTTTGGTGTATATGTATATATTTTATTTTATTTTTCGTATACGAGAAAATCACGAAAAAAACAATAGAAAAAAATATAAAATAAAAAAACTAAAACAAACCATTGAAAATTTAAAAAGAACTCGTACTGCATAGCTCTATGACCTGTTGCATATTATTGCCCATGACTGTGTCACTACTATGCCGTACATGTTCATCCTCTCATTCTATAGTCACAGACCCGACTACGTTCACTCTGTTCATGCCCTGCTACAAAGTATTTATTTTGTGCACCGTATTCGTAATTCTTTTTCACCCTTTCACTCATAGCAACATTTTTTTACAATTGCCATTGTAAATACGCCTCGCTATCCGTTTTACCGATTTTCAAATCTTAACCTCTTGTTACATCCCTTTCTGTTGCTTTTACTTTGTTCCTTCTTATATGCTGGCATGTTCATTCCTTTTCGTATTGCTACTAGTTTCGGTTGAAGCGGAGGGATGGCGCATCAGTCTAAGATGAAACTTGGACATAATGAGTCGTCTTCCCGCCATAACGACCTGGGTAACGGAGGTAAATCATAAGACCTCCACATAATTCAGTCCGTAATGGTATGTCGTTAAAAAAAATAAATAATAAAAAAACTGGATAAAAATAAAAGATATAAAAAAATTTGTAAAAAAAACAGACAACTCAGAAGCTTAAAATCACACCAAGGCACCAGCGTTATTTCTTCTTATATTCTGTCTTACCCCATGAATCATGTACATATTGCCCATAAATTATCTTCATTTTTTCCTTCATTCCTTCCTTTTACAAATTTTTTTACTATCTACAAACTCCCTGGTTGCTTCACTGCTATTGTACAAAGCCTCGCTACTGTTGTGTACCAAAGCTTGCTGGTATCCCACCAACCTTCTAAGGGGGATTACCTGTAGTGGACATTTAACCTCTGAACTTTTGTTTAAACTCACTCACCCCACTTTTGGCTCTTCTGGATTTTTTGGTCCGTGATTTTCCTGACGCACTTGGTTCGCTCCCTCGTTGTGCTTTCATACAGCGCACTCTTCGAGCCTACCTCCAGTCGAGTCAGCAGATAAGTTGTACAGTCACTTTATTTATTAAATCTGTTATTCAGTTACATCAAATACAACTCATACTACGAATTCTTTCCATTTTTAGTCTTTGAACTTTGATTGCGTTAATCAGTACTTACACGTTAGGTAGAGTACTGGTAAGGTTATAGGACGTTGAAGTTTTTAGTGAGTGTGGGGATATCGAGGTCTATTTTTTGTCTGGCCGCTACACCTACACCCTCTTCAACTGGAAATGGGCACATAACGCTTCCACAGCGGTTCCTTTTGATCACCATGCTTCTTAGAGCAGGTTGCGGTAAAAAATTTAAATGTGACTCTACATATAGCCTTCGTTAATAAGTAATAAAAAAAACCAACAAGTGCACGAAAATGGGTATAAATAAGCTATAAGAACACAACTTCCTATAAATAATATTAATAATATTTTAGCGTGTGGAATTCACTCCTTTTTCAAAGTTCACGCATCTTGGGACGCTATTGTTGAATTTCGCCCGGCATATTTTGTTAGGTAACTGCTGTTTTCAGTGCCTGAACGAACGTTTACTTGAAGTTATCAGACAGGTTCAATGGTTCAAGCCCGTCTCCAGGATATTGAATATAGCATGGCCTTTGAGTGAGCGCGTCGTTTCGTTTTAATTCGCAATGTGGTTCTTGAGCATCAGTTTCTGAGAGGGTTTCTTTCTGCTTCAGAATATATTTATTTCCGAAGATTTTAAAGCTTTAGCACTGCAAAGTTCAAATCACCTTACTAATATCGCGGAATTTATAGGGGCAATCAACAACTATGGCTTTTTACGAAGACCTTAAAGCCTCTCTACCTTGCGTAAGTTTCAAGTGACTGCATAAGTAATTTATAAAAGTATTTGGTTTTAATGCTGTTTGAATTGCACCTGCAGCCACTCTTGACACTATGATTAAAATAATGTCTAGAATGTTAAACTTCTACATATGCATTAAATGTACCACTGGATACTAATGTACGTTACTACTAACGCGGAATACAATTAGCTAAGTTAAAGTCATTTGCACTACCTGTTGTTACCGATGAAGTTATACATATGTGCAGTATTTAGTTGTAATGAAGTCCTAAGTTACTAAGTGATCACCTAAAAATAGTACATACAATTGTAGTAAAATGCTGAGAATTCCATTCTGTATCACAAGTACTGATTTGGAATAAAGCTTATGTTATGTGATGTTATGTTATGTTACATATGTATATGTAACATAATATTAATTTTTCTGATAACTTTTGAGGCCAGTAGTCCAACACTCACTATCGTTTTTTGCGGGTAAATGTGAATCAATTCGATACTTTGTGCTCGCTTACCTTACACGTAAGAAGCGAGCACAAAGAAATCAAGAATTTGTTTACTAATCTGTAAAAAACGATACTGGGTGTTGAGTTACTAGTTACGGAATTTGTTAAAAAAATTGATGCTAAATCAGTATATATTCGTTTTCTCGATCATGAGGAGAGCTTTACGGAGGTTCGCTAAATAATCATTCTCGAGTTCCCATACTTTCGTGTGTTGATTGTTAGGAGTCAATCTAAATGAGCTTTCCTGCAGATATCAACGTGAATATTGTAGTAAAAGTTTACAAATATCAAGAAGGAAGAGTTACTTTTTGTGATGCCAACAACAAACTATTATCCGATCTGGAGATATCTGTACTTTAATTAAACGAATTACAGGATTTGAAAAATGACTGATATTCAGCATATTACGTCACAACTAGTTTACTGACTTATTGGGCACTAGAAGTTATGTGAAACTTATTTAGTATGAAGCTGATTTCTATGTTTCTTGAGTATTTGAATCACAGAAATTACTGCTGTCTAAAAAATCTTAAACTCGGTATTTTACAACCCTTTGAATGAATATTTTGTATTTGGACTTGGACTTGTTACATCGGACGATTAAAGTACATAAGCAACAATTGTAGCGATAGAAACAGAAAACAATTATTATTTTCAGTAAAGTCGTTAGTAATTCTCAAGTGGTAATGAAATATACTGTGATGTGTACCAAAGAATAACATATACTTGCTGTGACAGTAAAAATAAGACATTCAATATCAGTATGAAGAGAAATATGGAGATTTTAGATGTAATGAATACCAGTTTTATGTATATACATATATATTTTCCTTCACGTTCCCAGTGGGACATAGGGCTTCAAGCTACTGGCTTGAATTTTTTGTAGCAATGTTTGATTTTACAGGATGGGGTTGCTAACCTCATGTCTAACCTTTCCGTTTTACCGGCATTATTTCTAGCTTACCGAGGTAAAGGAGTGCGTCGGCCAGGAATCGAACCCCGAACCATGAGCATGGTCGGCGAGAGTCCTAACCGCTGTGCCACCGACGCACATATATATATATATATGCAGAAAACGCAGTGAATATTGCTGATGCTCCTGTTGCTAAAATTCTGGAAGAAAATAAGGGTAAGCCTTGATTTTAAAGTAGGACATCTGGTTGAACGTCCAAAGAAGGGAGCCCTAAGTGTTCACATAAACTGGAGAGGAGTCATAATTCTCTCCACGCCAAGCGAAGTGTCATCCTGGGAAGGATGAAAGATTCTTTGGATGTAAAACTGACGCCAGAATAAGCTGAACTCAGGAAAGGCTAACCATAAGCCATCAGCCTCAATGGGTTGATCTCTGACGAAGTCTCGGAACGGATACAGAGGGCTAGTTTCCCATATGCCAGTTTACGCCGTCTCTGGCGTAGACGTGATATCTGACTATCGACTAATGGACGGGTGTACTGCTCATCAGTCCCTTCTGTCCTCCTCTATAGCAGTGTGTGAGACCTGGCCACTGAAAGTAGAAGACATGAAAAGATTAGCTGTCTTTGATCATAGGTGTCTGCGTTCTATCCACATCCCGTGTGAAATGGCATAATAAGGTGAGCAATATTGAGGTTAGGCACCCGTCGATTTCTAGGTAAACAGGGGAAATCAGTCGACGAGGTTGTGAAGTTACATCGACTGAGATGGTTGGGACGTGTGGTACGTATGCCTAGTCATCGCCTTCCTCGACCGATGGGTAATGTTAGCTGACATAGGGTCAGGCTGTAAAAAAGCTAGCGGAGGTCAAACCAAAATATGGCACCAGTCAATGAAGTCCACAACAGTTAGTCTAAGCCACGTAGGAAGGTGTAGACTTCCTGACTGGTTGGGGTCCTTGGGACGGTAAAAACCAATTGCTAGAAACAATCGGTGACATGGCTCAAACTCATTGTTCTTAATGGCTGGTGCAGATGCATCCACTCCTTGTGGTTTATGATTTCCAATGAAACTGTCTCACACCTCTGTTTACTGTCTCTATTATACATTTCTTCTACTTTCTTCTCTTGTTTCATGTGCTACATGGAGGAGTGTGGCGACTTGAACTGCCGCACATATGTGTAAAGTTCCATGTCGAAAACAAATAGACAGCATTGTTTCAAATTCAGGCAGTATTTATGAGAATGTCCAAACCAGACAGGATCAGAAAAGCAACACAGACCTTCTGTAATTTGAAATCAGTGTTGGAACTCGCTACACTCAGCATAAAGAACAAGATTCGGATTTTCGACACTAATACCAAGTTAGTCAGTCAGTCAGTCTATCTGTCTGTCACCAAAAGCACTTTGAACAAGCTGATTTTCCTTAACAGCTACCTTCACTGCATACGGAAGGTCAGATCGCCAATTCAGATAAGCAACAAGGAACTCTGGAAATAAAGTAACCAACGCCTGTTGTTGCTAAAAAATAAAGCTAGTGGAAGTTGGGTGAAACTGCGTTCCATGTCGTCGAGAGGAACCTGAATGGAAAACGGCTAGTTGGGGGAGGGCCTTGGGTGACACGAAGGAGATAATTGGGATGGAGATGAGAGCTTATCGGTAATCGTGGAGCCAGCCAAAAAGAACTGGATGGAATTTCTATGTGCTGTTGGAATCTTATATTCCACTCAGACTCCAAGGGGGGTCAAAATATATGGAGCTTGGCTGATTGTTGCCTTCCGATCACTGAGATGGATGGTTGTGCTTGTAACCACGCATACGCTTCAAAAGATTATAAGGACAATCTGAAAGAATGATAACGAAATTGAAAATACTATTAGATGAATAAATGAAACAGCCATGTAGATGAAAATGGACAGTATTATGGAATACTACCAACAAACATAGATGAATCGCGATGCATCATTATTGAGGAATATTTGTCTTGTCCAAAGGTGAACTGGCGAAAATTCTATGTTTAAAATACACAACTATAGTCATAATAATGTTGCCTATCTTTTATTCTTCTGAAGCATACTTATAACAATTATAACTGCTACAAACTATATGAGATTATATTTCATATAACTATTACCATGTGAGCTCTGAATGAAGTTTAGGCGTCATATTAATCTACGCTGAACGAATTTTAAATTGGTCAGATACACAAGTGTTGGTTTGTAGAGATTTGATTGATTGGTTACAGGATTTCATCATGAGCTGACATTGTAAAACCGTGGAGTACTGAAGAGATGTTCAGTACAGATGTTTCATCTTAGTTTGGGACTCTTCCAACCCAGGACCATTAAGCCACTGGGACCCGATCCAGTGGCTCATGAATTCTAACTTCTGCCAGTTTACGACATACCGCGATTGCTAGCCAATGTCTTCGGCGAGTATTTGTCTTCACACCTGACCTGCTGCACCCTACTGGTCACGACTTCTCAGTAGAACCCCAGGTTACTACCTGCCTGAATAGGGCAAGCTATCAGATACACCTTTTTGTTGGTTATCGCAAGTTACAGGGGAGCCAGTGAAATCACTTTCACACATGTATTTACCCTGTTTTTGCTCAATTTTTCTCAAAACTTGGTGTTAATGAGTTTCCAGCAATTCGATTTTATCTGAAAGTTAGTAAAAGTTCTCAATATCCAATATCTATAACTTTTGTATAGCTTATTCTTGTTTGTTTCCAGAAGTATACACTATTATTTGGTAAATGCACACTTCCATTTTAAAGTCTATAGTTTTACAAGTCCTCAGGTGATCACACTTTTTACTCATAGAGTTCAGGGGTATAGAACTCTGAACTAACTTATTTGTTCATATAAGGGCATGAGTTTAAGCCTCAAAAGTGTACATAAAATGTAGTGAAAAGGAGAGCTATCAAACTAAAATGGAGAATATGTATAGAAGACAGAATAAGTGAACCACGAAAAGTGTAGATTTTCAGAAATTTGACGATAATATGCAGTGAACGCTTAATCGTTCATTCATTCATTCGTTTTTGGAGTTGCAAAGGCCTCCTGTGACTAACCTTCACCGTTTACCAATGTAATCACTAATGAATGCGCCTCGTTTATAAGTTCCAATAGTCATGAAACCTATCTGCCTGATTCTGATCTACTACCGTTTAAAGTTTAACAGTATCCACAGAAGTCTTTATATGAATTTTGTCGTCAACTTTTGACTTATTCCCGTAATTAATGTCATATGCCAAGTGGGTAGGCCACACAAAGATATCAGACCGAAGTATTTGCATCGGAAAAGTCACTATTATAAGAATGACTTAAGAGGTGGAGTGTATATCCGTATCATTTCGAGTTGTTTTTTTGGTTTTGCATAATATATCCTTCCACTGAAATTCACCAAGCGTAGGCAGACAAAAGGTTCATGTGGCATTTTTCAAACTGTATCATCTCTGACGTAGACATAGTATCCGGCTGGTTATCTATCAGAGGATGTGTGCACTGCTTTGATGAGCAATGTTAGCTGGTATGGGATGAGGTTAGAAAAGAGGTGGTTCATGGTAATGAAATCTTTGAGTAAGTTTGAACCAATTAGGGAGGTGTAGGCTTGCAATTGGTTGGGGTCCTCTAAATGCGAAGAACCAATCATAATAGCTGGAGACTACTGATGGTGATGTGGCTCGAAATAGTTTTCAGTGGCGCAGATGCATTCAATCTTTATGATCTCCCGTATCCATTAAGCCCTAATGTTTCTCCATGTTACTATTCTTTATCCCTTATATTTCTTCCTACTACCGTTCTTCCGAATCTTCTTTTCTCTCTTTTTCCACCTTTGTGGGCTACTTGGAGTGTGGCAACTGGAACACCTGCACTTATCTGCAAAGTCCTATATTGAAACATGAAATCAATGTCCCCAAGAGTTAAAAAAAAGTTGCCTGGAGTTCTGGTAAGAAGTAGTTACCAGTTGGTTCCTCCCAGTCGGGAGTGGGGACTAATACTCGCCGCCAATGACACCTACTAGTTCCAGTCACGCTATAACCACCAGTTAATAGAGGACAGAATTCATCGGCTGGCTATTGAGTTGGGTCCCAGTGGCTGAATGATCTACGAGATCCTCTTGTGGCTGGAAGGATCTAGGTTCGAATGCCAATGTGTTCGTACTGAACGAAGACAGTTTCCTTATTTACTATGGTTTGTTTCACCTTTAGATTTTCAGATCTTCCATAATTTTTGATGAATTTTGGGTAAATTTTGAAAATCAAAGTTGAATAGACCATACTTAAATTTCAATAGTTTTTGTCTTATCAGCTATGAACGAGCACTGATCAGAACTCTGTTTTACATAGACAGAAGAATATGCTCCACAGAAATGCATGAAGAAGAACTCTTAAACATGAAGAAAGTTTCGGAAAACAATACTTACCCTCCGAAATTCATCAAAAAGTATGGAAGATCTGAAAATCTAAAGATGAAACAAACCAGAGTAAATAAGAAGCCTATCTTCATCTCACTGGATTTTAAAGATGATAATATTTCAGGAATAATCAATGAAAGACTGAAAACTTCTCTATCCAGAACTTGTCATACAGTCAAATTGGTTCCCCTTTATCGAACAACAAACTTTTTGGTACAATCAAAGGTTGATATATACTTTTTCCATGCCAGTTCTTACAATGTGTGCAGATTTACGTATATCTGCGAAGCACTTACATCGGGAGAACAGAAAGAAAGACATATCTCAGATTCTTTGAATATCTTTCAGGTTAAATCATAGATTGATATCAGTTAGAGAGCCATCAAAGACCAGCAGGGAGTACTGGACAGTTGTTTCATCCCAGTGTGGGATTCATTTGCAGTACGCACCCACTGGTTTTTGAACCCAGGATCTTCCAGTTGCAAGGCAAGTTTATATACCATTCAGTCACTGGGATTCGATTCAATGACCAGCCCATGACTTCTGACTTCCACCAAATAGTGATTTTAGCATAACCAGTGGGGTCCATTTAGTCAGTAGTGAGGATGGAGCTCCCACCGATGACATTGGTTGGTGGTCTCTGAACGTGTACCAAAAAGTTTAAGTCTCAAGGGAACAAATGCTGCTGGCAGATATCTTGTTTATACGGGTCATGAGGTAGACAGCCTAACAGAAAATCCTTCAAGATTATTAATAGACGATATAACTCTCCTCTCCTCAAATTCGCTGAAGCAACCGTTATCAAACTTTTAAAACTTTATTTATGTGTTCAGAAGGATTCATTTATTAGTCTTTCTTTACGTTGGTAACTCAACGCCTAGTCTCTTTTTCTCAATTCATTACATAATGTCTTGCTATTACACCCTCCAACCCCATTTTCGCTTTAGTGTAATTCAGTTCTGTGACTTGAATTAAAACCACCAAACTATTACTCATCACCAACTTCTCTCCTCCTGTTTTGACTGTGCAACTCAGTTTTCAATGTATTCAACCCTTGGTTTTGCAAGATTTTGACTTTGTTTTGTACCTTTACCTCCTTCATAACTTATATAAGTGGAACTTCCGAACATTGTTTATTAAAAGCTGTGTCTCTGTTAGCAAGAATCATTTTGGTTCTTGCAAGTGGAACAAAATTCTAAGTACATTTACAGAATCGACTTTTAGGTTGTAAGCAGTTGAAGAGAGTCCGACGGCGAAATGAATGATGACCCCATACTATTATTCTGCATAAACATTTATTTTTACTTTGTTTAAATTTATAAAATTTATTTATTTTATTTAAAACACAAAACTTGGCACAGTACGGCACCAAGTAGATGCACCACAATAGTAATAATAGTAATAAAACAGCATATAAAACGAAAAGTAAAAATAAAGATAGAGAACGGATAATGTAATTCATCTGGGGGGTGGGGGGAAAGCAGCCATATTTAAAAGGTTCTAACAGCATTCGTCAATTACTGCCGGAGATGGAAGAAAGAAGGAAACTGCAGCACGTCCGCCATTGATAACTGTGATTCCTAGCCATATCCGATGGCGTTTCAAGCCACGGATTCGAGCTATCTCTCGGACTCCAACCAGGGAGTCGTGACGCACCAATTGATGCTAACCTAACACAAATATCCTTCATTCTGCGACGGCATGTCATATTAGGCTGACCACCTCTCCACTTGTTCCATCCCGTCCCAGGGTTGGCTAGTGAACAGAGACCTGTGCGGAAGCCTATGGGATGACATTCGTAGCACACGTGCATCTAGCCACCGATGCCGGTATTTTTAGATGACGACACTCAACGATTGATAACCTCCATTGTATCTAAACACACACCCGCGAACCTCAGAATTACTCACATGATGATGCCATCGAACGCAAGCAGTCCTACAGGGATAGTGATGATCGAATACGCAGAGTCACCGCACATTCTCAGCTCGGAGAGGCTAAAGGGTATAAACTTCTGCAATTTTCTGATCTGTTTTCACACCTGCATCGGTGGCACAGCGGTCAGGGCACTCGCCGACTATGCACATAGTCCAAAGTTCGATTCCGGGTCGACGCACACTTGATATTAATGTTCAGTCTGCTAAATTTCGGCTACCGATATCACATGTTGAAAATTCCATACTTGTACCAAAATATTGTGTGAAATCAAGCTATAATAAAACAAAAAATAAAACATTCCAAAAATACTAAGAACAAAACACAGATTTCTTATCAGTAACTCTTATATTGTCTCCATTTCACCTGTTCTTCTTCTCCTTCTCTAAACTATTAGGTTACCCAATCTAGTTCACTTAATTGGGTTGATTGTCAGTCAACCGACACTTATCCCACTGATATTTACCGTGATGATATAACATTTTCAAATTTATTCTCAGAAGATATTCTAGTTCATTCATCGAATACAGTCCATCCAATTATATCTTCTTCTTCTGCCGTTGCTGCTGACGACGACGACGACGTCGATGATGATGATAATGGTGATGCGAATATGTTATGTACACTTCAGTATGGAACTGGTAATAATCCGTCAGTGTATACAACATCTTCAGAATGTGATCATTATAAAAAATGTCGATCATATTCAGAATATGATTTATTCCCAATTAAATCACGTCATTATGATGATGAAGATTATAAAAGTAAGTTTTTTTATTCTTAGATTATTCTAATGTAAATTTATTTTGTGCGTATGAGTGTGTGTGTGTGTGTGCGTGTGTGGTGATTCAGTGGAAGAATGCTCGCCGGCGACGCTAGACCTTCGGGTTTGAATTCCAATGCAAGTGAATTCTGCTTAACCACGTTTAGTTTAACAGCCGGTAGTAAGCCTGAGAAAGAGGGAAGACTAAGACCTTTTGAGATCACACACCATTGCTACTGAAAATTCAAAGTTTGGAACCCTATGTTCCACACGAGGTCACTGGAAAACGATGACCTTTAGGTCAAGAAATATAACGATTGTTGGACGACAATGGAAAGTATGCCTATGTTCCAAAATCTATCGAATGGTGAAGATATAATCAATACACCCTCTCCCTGGTCTAAAGCCTGCCTGGTTCTCTCGTGTTTGTGCCTCCCGAGCACCACTCAGTCTACGCAATATTATTGAGCCTAGGACTTTAGATACTATATTAGTTAAGCTTAATCCATCTGTGATTATCACAGGAAGGCTTGTCTCCCTTCTTGTATATGGGGATAATCAGTGACTTATACCAACCCCGACGGGATCTCCCCTGATTCCCAGAAAACGACGAAGTACTGAACTGTAATTTCTTCGTATTTTGGGAGTTTTCTGCAGTACTCACCACACAAATTGCAAACCTAGGACCTCTTGGTTACAAATTGAGCTCATAGAGCATTCAATCACTGGGATGTGATCCATTGGCCATTGAATTCCAACTTCTACCAATTCTTGATTTTAATGAGATTGGCACCAGCCAATGTCATCTTCGAGTATGTATCTTCACGCCCCACATAGTAGTCCGCAGCAGTCACGAATTCTCACTAGAAATCCAAGCAAATTTATCCTGTAACCAGCCTCTAGTGGGTACGTACTGATGAAGAGTAACAAGCTGGGAAGAAATAGGTATCCTGTACTCTCCGTTTTTCCAGTGGTTCTCTAACTGGTGTCAGCTAGTGATCAAGCTTGAGATTTAAATAAAATTGAGAAAATGTATGTGATATCTCATGGTAATTAAAACAATGGTGGCTAAGTTTCTGAAAGCGCTATTTTGTAGACAGATACTGAACACAAAATGATTGTTAACAAGACTTTTAAAGTCATCTGAATTTTATCTTAAATGTTCGTCTTTTATGTATACCTGAAGCTATTGGAATCCACCTTAACAAGCCCCAAAATTATGTCTTCAGACTAGGTCCATTCAGATACTTTCTCTGTCTGTCTGTCTGTCTGTTTTCGACATAGAACTTTGCACAAATGTGCACCAGTTCAAGTCGCCACACTCCGTGTAGCACACAAAGCAAGAGAAGAAATTAGAAGAAATGCATAATAGAGACAGTAAGCAGAGGTGTGAGACAAAGGAGGAGTAATAACGAAGAACAAAACAGTTTCATTGGAGATCATAAGCCACAAGGAGAGGATGCATCTGCGCCACTCAGAACGATTTTGAGCCATGTCACCGATTGTTTCCAACCATTGTTTTTACCGTCCCGAGGACCCCAGCCTGGAAGTCTACACCTTCCTACGTGGCTTAGACTAACTGTTGTGGATTTCATTGACTGGTGCCGCCAAGTTTTTGTTTGACCGCCGTTGGCTTCCTTCCAGCCTGACCCTATATCCGCTAACATTGCTCGTCGAGGGAGGCGATGGCTTGGCATACGTAACACATGTCCTAACCATCTCAGTCTTTATAACTTCACAACCTTGTCGACTGGTTTCCCCTGTTTACCTAGAACTCGATGGGTGCCTAACCTCAATATTGCTCACCTTATTATGCCATTTCACACGGGATGCGGATAAAAAGCAGACACCTGTGATCAAAGACAGCTAATCTTTTCATGTCTTCCATTCTCAGTGGTCAGGTCTCACACACTGCTATAGAGGAGGACGAAGCGGACTGATGAGCAGTACACCCACCCTTTGGTCGATAGTCAAACATCTCCTCTACGCCAGAGACGGCGTAAACTGGCGAATGCGAAACGAGCCCCCTGTATCCGTTCCGAGATTTCGTCAAAGATGAACTCGCTGGCGTCGGCTGATAGTACTTCCCAAATAAGAGAAGCGGTCAACGTGCTCTACCACTTCACTTCCTATTTCTAATCTAGGAGTCGGTGTAATCCAGTCCTGTAACATCATCTTGCATTTGGCGGGAGCGCATCACATGCCAAACATTCGTAGATTGCGCCTCAAGGTGTTTAGAAGACTCTGCATTTTGTCAGAGTCATCGCTTATTAGGACTATATCGTTGCATATTCTAAATCAACGAGAGTATTCCCTGATGGTAGTAAGTCAATCCCTGAGTCGCTGAAGTCACTTAGGGTTAAGTCCATTAGTACATCTATGATGAAGTTGAATAGAAAAGCGGATAATGGGCATCCTTGATGGACACCACTAGTCGTCACCAGTTCAGATGACAACTCGCCGTAAGCCCTCACCTGGCTGTATGAGTACGAGTAGAGTGCCTTAATCAGTGCAATGTATTTTCTCGTCATTCGCTTTACACCCAAGCATCTCCAGAGAACCTCCCAGTCGACAGAGTCGAATGCTGCCCTTAGGTGAAGAAATATAATGACTGTTGGACGCCGGTAGGAATTCCGGTGTTCTAGAATCTGTTGTAGGGTGAAGATATGATCAATACACCCTCTTCCTGGTCTAAAGCCTGCCTGGATCTATCGTGTTTGTGCCTCCCGAGCACCACTCAGTCTACGCAATATTATTGAGCCTAGGACTTTAGATACTATATTAGTTAAGCTAATCCATCTGTGATTATCACAGGAAGGCTTGTCTCCCTTCTTGTATATGGGGATAATCAGTGACTTACACCAACCCGATGGGACTTCCTCTGATTCCCAGACGCTGCCTAGTACCTCAGTTAATGCAGACAGTAAACTGTCTCCACCGTACTTAAATACCTCTGAAGTCATTCCATCAGGTCCCGCTGCTTTGCCTAGTTTCAGATTGGTGACAGCTTTAGTAACCTCAGTTAGGGATGATGGACCTGTGTCTATATCCCATTCAGGGAGGTGTTGGATGTTCGGAAGGTTGAGCGTGGCTGCGGGCCAATTAAACTGCTCCTCATAGTGCTCTTTCCAGCGACCCAGTCGTCTATCCTGGGAGCTAATTATAGTGCCATTTTTCTCCGAGATTGTTTCACTAATGATTTGTCTTCTCTCACTCGTTTCCCTGATGAGTCTAAATAGCTGTCTAATGTTGCCTATCCTCGAGGCTTTCTCCATCTCTTTCGCTTTTGTCACCCACCACTGTTTACGGTCCTTGTGGAGACTTTTCGTGAGTTTCCTTTTGTGCATCTTTCGCTCCTCATTGAATTCGGAGCTCGCCAGAATAAGTCTTCTAGCATCTATCAGTTCGGATGAGGCGGTGGAGATCCAGTGGTTTTTACTCACCTTTGGGTTTACCTTATTCACAGCTTTTACAGCTGTATCCATGGCTGTCTGGATATTCTTCGAAGCTTCTTCAGGGTGAGCACAGCTGTCGGACTCAGATATGTGTTTAGCTAGTTCTTCCTCAAATACGGATTTCGTTTCCTGATCGAGCTGGGGACGTGATGGTTTTACCGCCAGCTGTTTCCTACGTCCGTTCAGTCGTAAGCACACCCGAGCGCGGACCAGTGCGTGATCGGTATCTACACACGTGTTCCAGAAGGAGAGATACTTTCTCTACATTGGCCATTGTTGTCTGAACTACCTATAATTGCTGTTTAAATTTCCTTCTTGATTTGATATGATGTGTTTATTAAGCGTAATTACTTATGCAGAAAGACTGTTATAATTTATGTAGTGGGCAGTGATTGAAGGTAAATTAGCTTCGTAAAATGTTTCAGATTCATCGTACCAGTGAATACCAGTAATAATAATAATGGAAAGCCGTGACCAGTAGGGGACAGCAGGCTGAAGATGAGGCAGTAACTCATGAAAGAAGATATTGCGAAGTGGTCGCGCTATTTCGTGAATTGGAAGAAGCTAGAATTCGAGGACCATTGGATCGGCTCACAGTGGCTCAATGGTCTACGAGCTCGCCTAGTAACCAGAAGGCCCTGGGTTTGAATCGCGGTGGATGCGTACTACTGAAGAGTCCCAAACTAGGATGAAACGGCTGTCCTGTAATCCCTGGCAGGTTTTCCAGTGGTTCTCTGACTGATGTCAGCTCATGATGAAATCCTCCATGCAATAATTTTTTCATTCCTTTGCGTTCCTAGTGGAACATAGGTCTTCAGGCTAGAGGCCTGAAGTTTCTGTAGCAGTGGTGATCATTTTTACGGGATGGGGTTCCCAGACAGCCTCATGTCCAACCTTCTCTCTTCACCAGTCTTATGACTGGCTTGGCGGGGTAAAGAAGGAGTGCGTCGGTGGCCGGTGATCGAACCCCGGGCCACATGAGGCGTGGTTGGCGAGCGTTCTACCGTTGTGCCACAGACGCATACCAATAATAATAACTGTAGTTTTATTCCAAATAGTACTTTTGATACAGTGTGAAATTTCCGACGCAGCACAATACTACTGCATCTGATTTTCTCTCTACACAGTACAGGGGGAAATAATCAAACAGGGCATTTACGCTGATAATATTGTTCAACAAGAATATAAATATAAAATCAAAACGAAAATATTAACTGCGTCGGTGGCAAAGTGGTTAGGACTCTCGACGACCATGCACGCGGTCAGGGGTTCGATCCCCTGTCAACGCACACCTGATATCTATGGTCGGCCTGCAAGATTTGGGCTGCCGATATCACATACTGAAAATTCCATACCTGTACCAAAAAATATACAGTGTTGAATCAAGCTGAAATCAAAAATCAAAATCAAATAATAATGAAAGAAAGAATAAGAAAGGCCGTTTACTTGATGTTTTGCAGTAGGTTACTAGTGTCATTCATGCCCTACACTTTTGCCATCACATAAATTGTGTGCCTGCCCAACAAGGTTTTGTAAAGATATAATACTTAGTCGTCCTAGAATATAGTCTTCTATAGTTGCTTCCAGTTCTACCTGATAAGATGCAAGGAGAGAGTTGTGTATAGAGAGGATGCTCAGAGTCTGACAAGATGATATTCGCTAATTTCTTTCATGAATCCATGTGTCTATCTACAACAGTATTAACAAGTTGGTTTAACGTCCCCTCACTCTCCCTATCGACGTCTTTTAATACCCTTCACAGTGTAACGAAGTCTTTCTTAAGTAGCTCAGGAAAGAGTAAGGCGTGGGGGTGCAATATCGGAGAACAGGTAGAATCCAAGAATTAACAAACTGCAAAATTCTTGTTTTAGACCTCCTTAAGTAGAGGGTCAGACGAAATATCTTTCTAGAAATTAACATGATGTGGGGAAACTAAGAAAGACCAGAGGATAGACATAATGCAGGGCATTCAGCATTCGATTTAGTTTCTAATTCATTGCCATATATATGATGGGAACAAACCACTTCATGTAAATCATGTTAGCATCTAAAAGTGACATTAACAATTTGACATTTAAGCACCCCACCTTGTCGATAGGCTTTTTACATTTAGAAATAATACGGAAATTTTCAAGGTTCTTATTAACGTCATGATAGAACTTTTTGATCACATAGATCTATAGATTTGCACGTTTACGATGGTTACCAAACATCTCCTTGATATGCGTCATGAGGTGGAGATCGCGAAATCCTTTAAAATTATCAATAGACAAAGGAGTTCGATCCTCCTCAAGTTTGCTGAAGCAATCTCCTCTATCAAACGCTTGAAACCAGATTTATGTGTTCAGAAAAAAGTAGTTATTAGTCTTTCCTTGCCCTTGCAACTGGATGTCTTTATTCTCTTTTTCATTTGACTACGTAATCTTTGACTTTAGCCTCACCCCTTTGATGTAGTGTAATTTTACTTGTCTCTTGTTCCTATGCTTTGAGTCGAACTCAGTACATTGTTAGCTAATTTATCGGCCACTCAGCACCTTACGTATCTCTCGTCTTTATTACGTAACTGCTTTACCATTGTATGCATACATTTATTTAGTTTAAACTTGAACTGCCTGTGTTAAAACCATATAAGCGTAATTTTCTGAACACTGTTCACCAATTGTGGAACCTTCTGTCAACTGACAACATGTAAAATTTTCAAGCATGTTGAAACTTTTCTGTACATAAACCTCATAATTTATTCAGGCTGTAAGCAGCTGAGCTGATGAGAAGCCAACGAAATAAGCAATGATGGTAGCACACTTTTCTGCCTAAACCGCCACTGTTATTCTTGCTTTATTCAAATTCACCAATGGGAATAAATGCATGAGGTTTCCATTCTGCAACCACTTAATGTATATCATCTAGTGTGCTGCATTAGTATGTGCGTCGGTGGCATATTGGTTAGGATTCTCGCCGAACATACACATGGTCCGCGGTTCCATCCCCTGCCGACGCACACCTGATATCTATGGTCGGCCTGCTAAATTTGGGCTACCGATATCCATGCTGAAAATTCCATACTTGTACCAAAAATACAGTGGGGAATCAAGCTGTAAATCAAAAATAAAATAAAAAAATAAAAACAGTTCATTATTTGGCGAGGAAGACAATAGCCTGGCATGCGTAACATGTGTCCCATCTACCTCAATCATTGCAGCCTTACAACCTTATAAACAGACTTTCGCTCCTTATCTAACACCCTACTAACATCAGGATTACTGATCATGTTGCACTACCTAATAAGAGAGATAGTTAGCCTCTTTATATCTTCTTATCTAAACAGCCATGTCTCACAGTCTTAAAAAAACAGACACAGCTGACTGCTGAGTAGTATATACACTTCGTTTGACCGGTTGTCCGATATCAAGCTTACACCATAGATGATGCAAGTTTACCACTGTCAAACTAGCCTTATGTATCTGTGCTGTGGTGTTGTTAGTAGGCATTTCAGTGGGGCTGATGCAACATGTTCAACCATTTAATTCCGTACTGCTTGAAATAAGATAATTAATGTACGAGCAAACTAATAATACTGTGCGTCGGTGGTTTAATGGTAGCATACTCGTCAACCATTCACGTTGTCTGAGGTTTGATTCCCAGCCGATGCACTCCTAAACCTCACTTGGCCTATAACTTCCTCCAGTTAAGACGAGAGGTTGAGTGCGGGTCTAGCAACTCCAACCCGTAATTAGCAGATATCACTGCTACTGCAACTTCAAAGCTGAAGGCTGATTCTCTGCCTTCCATTTGGAGCTCAGAGGAATAAAACAAAAACTAAATGTTCACTGGTAGGTTTACACGTATTTGACTGGTTGCAGGTGATATCGGTTAGAGAACCATTGGAAAACCTGGGAGTACTGAGCAGCTAGTTGTTTCGTCCTAGTTTGGGACTTTTCATTAGTACGCACCGACCGACCCGGGTTCGAACCCAGAGCCTTCTAGTTACAAGGTGAGTTCGTAGACCATTAAGCCAATCCAATGGCCAACCCATAAATTTCAACTCCCAATGCACGATATAGCTAAAATATTCATTCAGACATCTATAAAACACAAAATAATTGAGCAAAAAATATCCTTTTCGATAATTTCCTCCTCTTCTGGCTATACAATTATATACGTATATGTTTACATACATAGAATATTCTAGAATGGTAGTCAATAACAATTTTAGTGTTTTTTTAAAAATAATATCGATTTGTAAAGTAAGATCACAATGGAATTACAGTTCATTAAAGATGCTTAAATTATTATAATGATAAAGATATAGTAGCTAATAGAATATTAACTAAAATTAGGAGAATTCCACAAAAATTCAGGATCATTCAAACCTTGATGGCCAAGGTAAGGATAATGTCTGAACTAACCTCTTTCGGACACATAAATTAGGCTTCTTAAGGTGGACCCCAACGGTGTCAGAAATATTTAGTATGCTGGTATGTGGTAAATGACTTTGAAAGCCACCTCGTTGACATCAATCTTGTGTTCAGTATCCACAAGATGAGATAGAATAGCTCTGCAAATAGACTTTTTTTGTCCTTTACATAACCAACCATGCAGGATGATGTTCGGAAATTCGACGAGAAACACGCCTAACTGTACGGCCTATGTAAGTGGTTCACTCCACAGGAGCAGTTAAATTCACGATATTGTGTCACCACTTGCTTATATCATCGTCTGGCGAGAATTCGTCCTCACACCCGATCTGCTGTACTCTTCTGATTATGACTTCCCTAATATTAGTCTGTTTAAGTGACAGAGACAATGTTGAGCGCGAAACCTATGACTTGCTTTGTTGTTAATAACATAATTTTGGCCCTTGTTATTTCCCCCTTATACCCTCTTATTTGTACTCTATAGTGAACAACCTTCTTAAACATACTTAGCTACTTAAAATTATTATCATTGGCTTACATTTTTTGTACTTTACTCTATTCCTTCTTTTGTATATCTACTGGGTCCGACTATATTATCATTATGATTATTACAAAATTGTCCTGTCATTAACCATCATGTAATATTAGTTTTGTGGTTGTTCTTGTTCGGCACTATTTAACTGACAATCTTGTTTGTGAACGCCACTATCACCATCTTAAAAAATTTTATATTATGCAGGATTACTCACACTACCACAACAAACACTACATTAGTGCTGACAATAAAAATAAAAAACCCTGAAATGTTTATTTTATGATTGTTTAGCGTAGTTCAATCAAATTAACTGATCATCTTGGCTATAAACATTCCTAAGAATATTTCATAACTTCTTGTATGATTATAGCTGTTACTGTTCACCACGCATACACATATCATAGCTTCCACTACCCAATACTGAAATATTATTCATTATTGGTGTTTATCTTCCTTTCTACTTGATATTTTTATTTGCATTTTTTGTTATTTTTGTGTTTCTTTCCGGTTTTTGTTGTTGTTTTTTTATATTTATTTTTTTGTAATACTCCTTTTAAATGTACGATGAAATTAGATGCAATATTGTGGATAAAGTGCTGAAAATTCCACACTGTACCACCAGTACTGTTTCTGGAATAAAAGCGAAATTTGTTGGAGAACCATTGGAAAACCTGGGAGTACTAGACAGCTGCTTCGTCCTAGTTTGGGACTCTTCATCAGTACGTACCCACCGGGATTCGAACCCAGGACCTTCCTGTTACAAGGCGAGCTCGTAGACCATTAAGCCATTGGATCGGGTCCCAGTGGCTTAATGGTCTACGAGCTCGCCTTGTAACAGGAAGGTCCTGAGTTCGAATCCCGGTGGGTACGTACTGCTGAAGAGTCCCAAACTAGGACGAAGCAGCTGTCCAGTACTCTCAGGTTTTCCAGTGGTTCTCTAACTGATGTCAGCTCATGATGAAGTCCTGAAACCAATCAAATCCCTACAACCATCACTTGAAAAGCGAAATTATTATTGATATTGTTTTTGTTATCTGCATTAATTGTCTCTTTTCTGTGTGTGTTTATTTCACTAGGTCATCGTCATTCATTGTATCCAAGTAAGCGTCAGCCAGGCAAACATTTAATATCCCGTAAAGGTCGTCGTTTTAAAGAACAACTTTTAACCACACGTGAAACAGATAAAACAAATAATAATAATAATAAAAATAATAATTTTTCATCAAGTAATAATTTATTTAACCCTTTGCCCTGTGAAAATTCAACAGATCCCTTATCCTCCATACCTATTGAAATTGATGAACAAAATACACAACCATTTATTACAAATTTAATTTCCAGTGATTATTCACATCCAAAGGATGAAATGAGTATACCACCAATAACAAGCGAACAGTTTGCGACAGCAACAACAACAAGAACAACAACTATTATACATAATGATGAAGATAAGTATTCCATAATCTCTGTAATGAATAGTTATCAATTGGATCCAGCTAGTCCATCACTAGCTGATAAAGCATGTACTCTATCTCAGTTGGCTAAAAGTCGTCGTTATATCATTGATTCATGGTGTATTCTACCCGTGAGTAATCAGAAAATTCATTCAAATATCTTTTTATCAAATGATACAATACTGGGCAAACATTCATCTTCGTCTGCTTCGCCTTCCTCCTATTCCTCCTGGTCCGCCTCCTCTTCCTCCTCCTCCTCCTCGTCATCACCATCGCCATCATCGTTAATCTCATCTCTGTCTGCATTGAATGTAAACTGTGATTCTTCAATCTACAGAAGTTCTTTAGACTTGTTGAAATCATCCAGTTCTTCTTATATTCATTATCGTGATCATCCAATGAGTTCTCTGGATCATATTAGAAAAATTCGAAGAAGGTAAGAATTTTGCATTGTTTCTTTTATATATTTTTTTTCGTGCAACAATTTGTGTTTATAAGTTTTAGGACATAAGGATGTGGCTTTACACAGGATGATGATATAGTCTTCCCAGTGGAACACAGAGCTTCAACAGAATATCATGATTTCACTCCGGTTTGTTCCACGATTTTCTGTAGACTTTCATCTTCTTCTCCTTCTCATCCTGACACGATCTTCTCCATGTGACACTCGAAGCAATGCCTAACTCTTCGTTTCTCTTTATCGGGTTCCACTCGAGGGGTTGGTGCGTATTTTCACGCAGTTATTTCCTCAGCCTACGTTTGATCCATCTCAGTTATGGCAGGTGAAAGGTTCTTGGTTGGTTGGTTCATTCCCAGAGTTCTTTTTCGATCACACTTTCTGGCCAGCTATCTGATTTTCACTATCATCCAGAGAAGGCAGCTATTAATGAACATGTGCAGCAGGTTGTTAGAAATGCTATTGGTGAAGCCCCCTAGCAATTAGGAATTTCAAACCGCCTTTATACATTCATCAAAAACAATTCGCAATCACACTAAAACTCCCTTCCTTGGTAAACTTTGTTTTGATACCAGCCAGAGTAGATGTACTATTACCTCTCTTCTTCGGTTTATTCATCTTCATTGTTATTTTCACCTTCAATATTTCCATTAAACTTAACCTAAGTAGTCTATTTTCTCACCTCTTGACTCTTTATTAATTTCTTGCATATATATTCCTATGAAAAGTACGTGGAGGTGTGATCAGATTGTTCAAAATGTTAAAAAGACGGTTGCAGAGAAGAAAATTTTCTTTTCGACAAAGTCACCGTCAACTAGGAGGCTGTACATTCGTGTATTTATAATAAATGGATGAGGAAGTTCCAGAATAATTTCTGGTTAAGGGTCAAATTTATAAAATTACAATAAGGAATTAAAATGACTTAATAAACAGGGAGACGGATAAAACTCAAACAAAGTAGCAACATAATTATCGAGGAGATTGACATATTGTGCAATTAGGGGTAAGAAATGTAGAAATAACAAAAATAGACAGGATATTTGCATAAAAAATCTAGTGGGATCATAACTAATGTGACGAATAATTGTTTATGCAATCAGGGATTAAATATGTAGAAATAATAAAATGACCAAATAAACAGGAAGTTCGGACATGAATAATTGGTAGTGTAAACAGGGATTAAAAAAAACTTAAAAAGAACTCGAATAAACAGCAAGTTTTGGATAAGAAAGGCAATGGGATGGTCATTAATAAAAGTATATACCTGTTTATGATGACCATGGCAGGGACAGGGGTTGGACGTATTTCTTTGGGATAAAAAGCGTGAGTTTAAGCTTTTGTATAGCTAGCGCTTCAGCTATGCTAAGATGTCTTACTTTCACTCCCTTTGACAAATTTGACTGAATCTTGTATATTATTTTGAAGCATTTTTCGAATGGCGCTGATTGTCCTGAATTGACTAGATGTTCTATCATTGAACTATATACACGTTTTTGATCTCCTTTTACTAACCAGGCTGGATAGTGTTCACGAGCGCGTTTTTCAAGTCGGCGCATAGTACGGCCAACGTACTCAGCTCCACAAGAGCAAGTAAACTGGTATTTGCACGTTGAGGTGGCCCAATGCGACAGCTTGCCTTTCGCATTCTGGCTGAACAGTTTCTTGCAGACAAACGTCAGTCGTAGGCTCGTGGCGAAACTATGTTTTCCTCAGAGATTTGGAGAGGCGTTTACGAAGGATTTCTGCTTCAATCTCACCTTTGAATTTTAGATTGAGCAGAAGTATTTTCTTTGGAACGGATTGAACTTGTTCGGAGTGTGTTGTGCGCAAATACAACATTATACACACGATTCAGACAACTTACATCTTCTTATTGCTTTGTCTAACTAAATACATAAAGGGAACATTAATTGTTTTAAATTACAAAATTGGTTGAAACGTCTATATAAGTATAAATGTAGTGATTAGATTGTTCAAGAGGCATTTCTCAAACATTTATTCCCGTATACCTACTACTTAAATACATCAATCAGTAGTGTAATACGTCATTCAAATCTAATTATTCTAGTCTAAAGTATTTGAAAATCTAGATGGTACTCTGTCTCTCTCTCACACACACACACACAGAATAACTCATCTAAATTAATGATTAAAATAAATAATGTTATCAATTATTTTGAATAAAGTTTAAATGTTTAATAATAATTCTATACTTTTTAAAAATAAATTATATTTATTCAGTAGGGTAGCCAAAAAGGCTGGACTGAATGAGTAAACTGTCAAAGGGAATGCCAGGCAATAACACACACTCTGCAGACGTTGAGAGGTGTGTGTGTGTGTGTATGTGGACTCTTTTACTTGTCATAATTGTGTATGCCTGTGTATGTGCATACCGTTATTTAAGAAAGGAAAAAAACATGACAAAATGTTGAAAAAAGCATAAGTTTCTTTGCACTCTCTGTTTTTTTATAAGCTTTCAGTAAAAATATTGCAGCGAAAGAAATATATATATATATATATATTGTACAATGATGTTCACATGTGATAGATAAGTCATTCGTCTGTATACACCAACACCGACACACACACACACAGACAAAGTCCACATACAAAAATGTTCACTGCATTATAAAAGTTTTTGTATTTCCCAATGAATGAATGAAAAAGAGCAAAACAGTATTGTTGTTGTCGTTTTTACTGACGTTTTGCTATGTGGTGCTACTATTAGCTTCATGAAAGTAGTAATCTTAAACCAGAATTTACAAAATCTCAGTCTATAAATATCGACTTAAGTTAGAAATTAAATACCTAGACGTCATTCTATCTGCTGATCTTTCCTGGTCATCTCATATCTTGATGATTTCTAAGAAAATATTCCGTCTTACCTTCTACATCAAGAAGTTAAGACATTCTGGAATAACTCAACCCAACCCTTACTCCTACAATTTGTTAACTCCCGTATTCTGCCTATTGTTCTCTATTGTTTCCCCTTAGTTTTTCCTGGACTACTGATGAAAGACTATGCCTTATTACGCAGGATGTTAAAGGCTGTCATTAGGCTAAGCTACGTGACACTTAACCAGTTTGTTAATATTCTGGTTGATAGGCACATGGACTCATGTGAAAAGTGGGCTAAATCCATTTTATCTAACTCACAACACCCTCTTCATTCACAACTCTCCCCTTGTATCTCTTCAGGCAGAACCAGAAGTCTTTATAGAAAACTATATACTTGAACTCGCAAGTACAAAAACTCATCCATAACCTACTTAGCTCGTGTTCTGTGCGGTAAAGAAAGCATTAGGCGTTATACCTGTAACTTATTAAATATTCAGTAGAACAACTGGATCTCGTCTTTCCAACTCATATCATTTATAGGTACAAGGTTTTTCTTTCTTTCTTTTCCTTTTCTCTCTCTTTTTTCTGTTATGTGCAGCTTTGTTTCTTTCTCCCGCTTACGCCAGTAAATATGTTAGAACCTACTTTTCAAACACCTTCAAACCCTCTGTTCAGTTTTTGGCTTTGCTACCGACATGCTAATATTTTGTTGTCAAAACTAACTGAGATTACCCTTAATCTATGTAGAATTTTATTTTATTGTTAATTTACTAACTGGATGCAATACTCTAGTGAAATGCTGAGAATTCCATTCTGTATCACAAGTACTGTTTTGGAATAAAGCTATTATCATTCATTCATTCAATTGTTCTTCAGCTTGAGGTAGTCTTTTATTACGCTGGCAAATTGGTAAACATAACTGTTTAAAATTACAAAACCAGCACAGTGAAATAGCTGATTAAATTTGTGTTAATTTTGTCACTTTATGTGGCGGAGACGGGTGTGAGATCCAGATCAAATTCTGTCTTAACTCCATTATAGATAAGATTTTATTTTGATGAAGCCACACAGTGTAGTGTTATACAGTAATATTAACTGATGACCACATTTCGAGCACAAACTATTGCCACTCATTATCATATCATGTCACTCACTCATTCAATAACACGACTTTTTTCCTTCATTTATATACATGAGTGGAATTGAATAGGTATTTGAATAAAAATCAATATGGGATAATTTACATTCAGAAATAATAAAAATATGAGTGTTATTGATCAATTACAATCAGATGGGAAATAAGACGAGTGTTTTAATAGTCAAAATAAATGAGTAACTTGTTAGAATGTTATGATGTGCTTGAATTGAAATAGAATTTTTAGATTATTTATTATCCTCCTCTGATTTGACTGACTGGTGGTAATAATATCTTTCATATTTCTGGTATTTGCATTGAGTCATTTCTATTGCAAGTGTTGCGTGTAGACTCAATAAACCAGGATTCAGTTATCAATCACCTCTCTATCCACCTGCCTGCGTCGGTAGCACCGCGGTTATGGCTCTCACTGACCATGCACGTGGTCCGGGATTCGATTCCCTGCAGATGCACACTAATATCAATGGTCGGCCTGCAAAATTTGGGCTACTGATATCACATGCTGAAAATTCCATACTTCTACCAAAAATACTGTGTGGAGTCAAGCTATCATCAAAATAATATATATGTATATATTACTTCGAAGAATTTTAACTCTCTCCAACCCTATTGTGTTGTGTGTTAATGCATGCAGTACAATTGCTGAGCTTTTTTCTAAATTACTCATCTTCTCGGGGTCAACTATTCTTATTATTTCTGAATGTAAATTGTCCCATATTGATTTTTATTCAAATACCTATTCAATTCCACTCATGTATATAAATGAAGGAAAAAAGTCGTGTTATTGAATGAGTGAGTGACATGATATGATAATGAGTGGCAATAGTTTGTGCTCGAAATGTGGTCATCAGTTAATATTACTGTATAACACTACACTGTGTGGCTTCATCAAAATAAAATCTTATTTATAATGGAGTTATACTCTACTGCAGTGCCCAAATTTTACACTTATATCAAATTCTGTCTTAATCTATCATTCCCACTC